GCACTTCGTCCTTCCTCTCTTCCACAGCGTGTTGTCCTGCCTGAGCCTCCTGCGTCCTCTCTTCCGCACGTTCCTGACCCTGAGTCCGACCTTGCTCGTGCTGCCAGTCCTACCGTCACACGTCTCCTCGCTACTGTCGTCACTGACCCTGACTTTGAGTCTACTGCAGCGTTTACCCTAGTCACTGAGCTAGTCGACTTTGCAACTAGGAGTCGTCTTGACTATGTCGCGAGTCTTGTTACTGAGTCTGAGTCTGTCTGTCCTCCGTGCGTCGGGGGTGAGCCTCCCCTTAGCAGTGACGTCCTTGAGGACAGACATTTTGAGGCTGAGTGTCTTGCGGCCGCTTTACCTCGTTTCGCATCCATGCTGCTTTTCCCTGAGGGAGACCCGGATGCACTTGACATCCCTACCCCGCGCTCTTACGCTGAGGCGATCGCGGGTGAGTACTCCTCTCAGTGGCAGATAGCCATGGACGCAGAGATGGCTTCCTAAAAGTCCACATGCACCTACGTCGACGATGTTCCTCCTCCTGGGGCAAACATAGTCGATGGCATGTGGATTTTCAAGGTGAAGCGACCGTCGGGTTCTCCGGCTGCCTTCAAGGCGCGTTACGTTGCTCGAGGCTTCAGTCAGCGACAGGGGGTCGACTTCTTCCATACCTTCTCCCCCACCCCGAAGATGACTACTCTTCGGGTGCTGCTGCACGTTGCAGCACAGCGTGACTACGAGCTGCACTCCCTCGACTTCTCCACAGCTTTCTTGCAGGGCAGCCTTCACGAGGAGATCTGGCTGCGCCGCCCACCTGGCTTCACTGGGTCGTTTCCTGCGGGTACCCAGTGGAGCCTCCGGCGGCCAGTCTACGGTCTCCGCCAGGCGCCCCGCGAGTGGCACGACACACTGAGGACGACACTTGCGGCTCTTGGGTTTGCTCCTTCGACTGCTGACCCGTCGCTGTTTCTACGCACCGAGACTACCCTGCCGCCGTTCCACATTCTCGTGTACGTCGACGACCTAGTTTTTGCTACTGCTGACACTGAGGCGCTGGCCCTAGTGAAGGCGGAGCTGCAGGAGAGACACACCTACACTGACCTGGGTGAGCAGCATAGCTATCTTGGCTTGCATATCACCAGGGACAGAGCACGGTGCACCATCATCCTGACTCAGTCACACATGGTGCACCATGTCCTTCGGCGCTTCGGCTTCCAGTACTCCTCGCCACAGCCCACTCCTCTGTCTACCGGCCACTCGCTCTCAGCTCCACCTTCGGACGAGTCCGTAGAGCCGAGTGGTCCGTACCCAGAGCTTGTGGGTTGCCTCATGTACCTGATGACGTGCACACGACCTGACCTTGCGTACCCTCTCAGCCTCCTGGCTCGCTACGTGGCACCTGGTCGACACCAAAAGGTGCACTTTGATGCTGCGAAGAGGGTACTGCGTTACTTGTGCAGTACATCGGGCATGGGGCTCGTGCTTGGAGGACGGGGTTCAGTGGTACTCACAGGACACTCTAACGCTTCTTGGGCCGACGACCAGGCGACTCCGCGTTCGTCACAGGGTTACACTTTCAGTCTTGGCTCTGGTTCTGTCTCGTGGAGGTCCACTCGTTCCTCTTCTGTGCTTGGTTCCAGCTGTGAGGCCGAGATCTACGCTGGGGCCATGGCTTCGCAGGAGCTACGCTGGCTGACCTACCTGCTGACCGACTTGGGGGAGCGGCCTCGTTCTCCTCCAGTTCTGTACGTCGACAACAAGGCAATGCTTGCCTTGTGTCGCGAGCAGAGACTGGAGCACAGAACGAAGCACATTGCTCTTCGTTACTTTCTTGCTCGGGAGCTGCAGCAGCGTGGTCAGCTGCGCCTTGCTTACGTGGCCTCTCGGGCCAACAATGCTGATGTCTTCACCAAGGCCCTCGAGTCTGGTGATCTTCAGCGTTTTTGCACTGCTCTTGGACTTGTGCCCACTCTGCCTCACCTGCTGGTTGCTTGACTTGCTTTTGTTGTACATTGATATATATCTTAATACCTGCTTGTTTACTCTTGCTAGGTTGTGATCAGTGTACCACCTTGCTATTATAACTCTGCATGTGAGCTTTCCTTGTGGCCGCTTGCTTGTGCTCAGACTGTGTGGTGTCCTTGAGATCCACCCTGAGCTTTGCTTCGCTTGTCCTCTTGCTTGATTGGTCTTGTGACCGTCTGTTGTGTTTGGTCTCTCCCACTTAGCCTATGGGGGTGTGTCAAACTGTATGTTTGTGTTCTCTCTAGGCTACAGTGGGTTAGCCTACAAGGGGTACAACACTTTAGGGTTAGTACTTGTACCCAACTCATTCATAGTTCATTCATTCCTGCACTGTGATTCTGACAACTGGAGGATGTGCAGCTGGACGAGCTCATCCCAACCCCCCCTATCCTGTCCCCCCGCACAACCCTGAAGACAGCGGATAAGACCTGGTGGCGGAAATGGAGTTGCGCCGGTAGTGAACCCGAATGTTGAGTGTCAATGAATTTTGCTACCAGGGCCTCCGATTCGTTTGAGGGTACCCTGAGGCCTCAGGGCAGTTGAGTAGAAAGCCTCATGTTGTCCTGAATTGTCAGGACTGCACTAGGTTAAGTATGCTGAACTGTCAGTGCTACTTGTGACACTATCCTGGCATATCAGGGCTACATTTCAACTTTTCCTGTGGACAAGTTTTCAGACTAGCTTGCATGTTTTACCTATGACAATGACGACAACACAACACAACACACACCAAAATTGTCAAACGCATTCATTATAAAATAACAAACATTTCAACACCCATCGTCTTCCTCCTCCTCCACGTCATCTGCACTAGCATCAGTGTCCCCCCCACTGTCAGCATGAGCAGCATCATCAGCAGCAGCAGCGTGGTCGCGCTTCTCTGCAAGTGCCCCCCGGAACACCGCGCCACTTCTCCTCGATACATCCACCTTTGCTGTCTTGTGCTTGGTGGGTCGCCTCTTCTTGGTGGTGCGCCACAGTGCCACTACTTCACTCCACTCCATGTCGTACTCCAATAGACTCAGCGTCATGAGGTCGCCCAGCTTCGCGTCGCACAAGCTGGTCCGCTGCCAGCTCTTGATGACATTTTGGCGCGAGAATCCGCGCTCGCACTCCACTGTGCTGAGCGGCAACACCGCCAGAGCCGCCTACAGCCGCACCAGGTTCGGATACGTCCTCCACTTGTCCTGCGTTGACAAGATCGCCCGCAATCCCGCATGGAAGGGCTGCTCCTCCTTCGGCGCCCCGTACAGCACGGACAGAAACGTGCGCAGCTCCTTCCGCACGTCGCGCTTGTTCACACCTGTTTGGTGGGATGATAAGGGAACAAACAAGCGCAGCATCAACAACCGCGCTTCTAAGGTGTACAAGACACACAGCGATATCTAGTGGGCTAACACATCAGATAACTCACCAGGCAGTATCTCATCTCTGTCGCGAGCATGGAACATCACCGCCAGCTTCTCCATGTGTTCTTTGCACTCCGCGTCCCTCGCCTCTTTCCCACGCGGCCAGGTACTTGGCATGAAGAGCTTTGCGGCGTTGAGATTTGACAGGTCGCCAAGCCGAAAGTCGAGGTTGTACAGCAGCTCCGTCGCAAACGAGCGACACGTTCGAATGCATGACTGGATGTCACCCGCGCTCGCCGAGTAGCCCGGAATCGCCTCCTTGTGCAGGGTGAACTCATGCTCCCTTGCCTGCCCGTCGGCGTCCACTCCCTGCACAGTCACTTGCCTGCTGCATGGTGCACTGTGGCGAGCAAGGAACGGCGACACTAGAGTGCTCGCCCCAGCACCGAACTGTTGCCTACAGTCGATATAGCGCTCCCTGATGAAAACTTATGTTCGCCTCAGCTGGGAGTGAACCGCCGTCAAGTCCACCTGTGGTCGGGTTTAAGTGCAGGGAGGACACAGGACGGAAAGGATCCGTAAGCAACAAAACCTTTAAAATCGATTTCAGCAAAGATCCTCACAACAATACCTCGCGCCTCTGGAAGAGGAGATTGAGAGAGTTCAGCTCGACGTGTACATCCGCCAGGAAGTAGACAAAGACGTTGAACTTCAGGCTGGTGACCATGTGGTAACAGGCTGCATCCAGCTGCTCCAGAAGTACAACCACCGCCGGTAGCACTTTCACGAACCGGGCTATCGCGTCACCGCGGCTTAGCCAACGAACGGCGTGGATTCCTTGCATTTGCAGGTTCGTCCGGGTGAAGACGGCCTGGATCTCCTTGAATGCAGCGTTTGAGGTGCTGCTGCGGCCGAGATGCTCCGCCAAAGCACGGATGAGGGCGTCAACCATGGCGAGCTCTGGGAGCGCTTCTGCAGAATCTTTAGCGGCAAGTGCCTCCCTGTAAAAAACATAAAGCAACAGACAAGGCGTCAGACTGTTAGATATAAAAACAACAGCAGATGCTGGATGTGGGATGCAAAGTCGCCCACCTGTGGGCGATGCAGTGGCACGAGACCAGATGTGGGATGTAGAGTCGAAGTCGCCCGGTCAGTCCGTTGGTTCCGCCGAGCATGACAGGAGCGCCGTCGGTGCTAATCCTGGCGATCTTGCCAAGGGGGGGGTTGATGCTGTCGAGGTAACCGACGAGCACTGCATACAGGGATCCTGCATCGCATTTATCAACTGTCAATAGCGTGAGAAACTCAGTGGTAACCTCGTGTTCTCGCAAAAACGTGACGAAGACAATCATGTGCTTCCCCCGCACGCGGTCAGTACTCTCATCACAGCTCAAGCCAATGAAGGGGCTCGAGTCTATGAACTCGCGCTGCTTCGCACGAAGATAGCTCGCTGTTGCCGACACTAGTTCCGCGAACCCGTACCTGCGAATGTACGGTTTGGGAAACACACTGTTAGCATAAAGCAAAGAATGTGTTTGGTAACGACAAGTAACAGGAAATTACTTACGTTGTGTAATATGGGCCGTAGCCGTTCTTCGGAAAACCCGGGGTCCCACGGGAGGCAAGGTGCCGGACGAGTTACACCCACATGTCTATGGGTGCGTCAGTCTTGGTAATGAACAGCATCGTGTCCAGCAACGCCTCCACAGCATCGTGCTCCACGTCACGGGCTTTCGGGAAATCCGGGATGCGATGCTGCCCGGCAGCTTTGGCCAACGCCAGCTCCTGGTTGCGGATGGCGTCCCTGTGCTTCGTAGTCCTTTGATGACGCTGCATGGCTTGAGTCTGCACATCCAGGGCCCCCTCGCCTTTCCCGAAGTTGGTTCCTGTTCCTCCATAGTCCATACACACAGTACACTTCATGGAGGGGAATCCATATTTAGTCTGACAAATAATTAGCCACGGGAAGTCCTCGTTCCACCGTCGTTTAAACATGAGCAAAGCTTCCTGATACTTTTCCTCTGCGACGTCGGGAAGTTCGGTGTCAGACGAAGCAGTGCCGGCGATTTCAACAAGCACGGTAGGTTCGGTGGTCGGTTCATGATCTTGCCTGGAGACGGAAACGACAGCGGTGTTGTCATATGTACGGACGAACGACAGCGTTGTCTGATGGTACCGTTGCGCGGAGATCTTTTTGCTTGGAGGTCCTTTACGGGTCGTCCTAGCAGCCTTAGCGCCTTCCCCTTGCGTGCGAATCGGCGGTGGCAAGGGGTCGTTGTCAACCACGACCGGTGCAGCTGTCGCGGGAGAAGGCACGGGTGGCTGGGACGGCGATGGGAGGGAATCAGCTGCGGCAGCAGTGTGTTCTGGTATTGGTTGAGGCGGTGGTGGTGGCTGAACGGGCCTACTACGCAAAAAATCCAGGGCCGTCAACACTACTGTCGGGCCGTTAGGGTTAGGTATGGCGGGGGCTTCACCATCGCCCGCCGGCGATGGGGCAGCCATGGGCGGTCAGCAGTGGAAGACGGAACGCAGAGATACGGCGTCGAGCAGCTACCAAAATTACGGGGAAAACTAGGGATTCTTGGTGTTCTGGCTGGGGTTTGGTTGAGAGTGAACAGCAGGCTGGAGAGGATGGAGGAAGAGACAGAACATCACAAAGGTTCCCGCCCGAACCTTCCCAACCCCAGACACATGGCGCCGCGACCAAAGGAGTCGCGACGTATGCGCTGGCAGGGCAGGCAAGGCAAGACTCCTGAACGTTCAGCAACGCAGCTGTGGCATGGCGCCGTGTCAAGTTCATTTGATGGGGACGAGGAAACAGGAATGGGTTGGGAAGCACGTGCGTGCCAAACAACATCTTGCAAAGTTGGCAGTGCTTTTCCTGCGTGTTAAGTCAGTGGCGCTCTGTGATTGGTAGGTATTACAGCATTACTGTGTGTCCAGGGTGGGCGCGGTGTGGTTTTGCGCCACCCATGCAAAAAAATCCAGTGCGACAATCACGCAGCGTAACTTACGCTGTACCAGGTCGGTGGTTGGGTACACTAGGGCCCCCGAAAAATGCAGTATTCGCGTCAGGACGAGTCTCGACACTATCCTGACTCGTCAGGGCTGTACCGAGAGCGCTATCCTGTGTGCCCAGTATGCAAAATCACCATTATACTGATTTCACAAGGCATGCTGTTTTTCCAGGAGAACGCCTACACACCTATCCTGAATTCAGGAGAACCAGGATAAATTATCCTGATAATATAGGCCCTGTTTGCTACACTATCTATGAAAGAACCGGCAAATTTCACCAAATCCTAATGGCTCGACACGCCAAGAGTATCAGGACCCTTGCAAACTCCACCGCCCGGACTCAACCACAGCGCATGCAAAGAGCAAAATGAAGAAATATATCACAATCATGTATGGATTCATTATTTTCAATATCCTGAGTATGAATAGCAAGTCCAACGGCATGGCATGTCTCATCATATCCAACGTTGTTGGCAAGAAAAGTTGCCTGGCTGACAGGGTGAGAACGGCAGCTTGTTTGGCGCAAGAAGGGCCTCAGTTGTCAGCACAAAAGGAGCTCTTCTTTGTGGAATTGCATAATCAACTTCAATCCACAGTGCTCGAAACCCCACCTGCAAATGACAGGAGAAGTGTATTAACTCAAATGTTTCAGGAGCAGATATTACTCCTAAACGCTCTCCTTGACACAAAGAATGCCCACAAGAGCATCAACATGCCGGTAAACGTTGCACGGCACCCGTATTACCATCACATAGCCACCTTGTGACCCCTCGGTATAGTCACCTTGGGAACGTCGCTGACGGTAGCACTGAAGTGCCACAAGCCATCCTCGGGGTGGTGCTTGGGCGGCGATACGGTGTGCAGAAAGAAAGGGATGGCCTGCACACACAGCTCGAACTTGCGCTCATATGTGCTCGGTATTATTGGTATTGGCGCCGTGCTGCCACAGCAGGGGCAGGGAGCGCACGGGGTGGGAGGGTGGGAGAAAGTCAGCAGATGCGGAGAAAGAAGGGTGTGGCCTGCACTGCACTGCAACCACAGGTCAAGCTTGCCCCGCACACGCCCCTGGAACTGCTGGCGTTGGCGCCGTGCTGAGAGGGTGGGGCGGTGGGGGTGGGGGAAGGTGAGCAGGTGCAGCAGAGGAAGAATGGCTCCGGCCGGCTTTGCCCGCATACGTGCCCGGCGCCGCTCAAGGGAAGGGCATGGGGGGTATTGAGAGGGTGGGGGGGACGCATGGGGAGAGGTAAGCAGGTGCAAAGGAAGGAGGGGATGAGCTGCACGAACAGGGCTTATGCCATGGCACTCACCACCCCCTTGCACCACTCACCACCCCTTCCACCACTCACCACCACCTTCCACCACTCACCACCCCTTCCACCACTCACCATCCCTCTGCACCATTCACCACCCCTTCCACCACTCACCACCACCTTCCACCACTCACCACCCCTTCCACCACTCACCACCACCTTCCACCACTCACCACCCACTGGAGCCTCGCTGTACCACGAAGTGGAAGTCTCGCCGGGCGCTGGCAGTGCGGCCAGTCCTGTGAGACACGGGGAGCACGGTGGGGGAAGGGGGAAGGGGAGAAGGGGGAAGGGGGGATTGCGGGTGGGGGGAGAGGGGTTGTGGGGAGGAAGGTGTGCGAGTTTCGGGTTTGAGAAGGAAGAGGAGATGAATGGAGAGAAAGAAAGCAACTGGTGCCGTAGAAGCCACAGCGCACAACCACAATGACAAAGCAGTCGAGAACCATGCGCTCCCATGAAACATACAGAGAGCTTAACAAGAGCCTGCTCTTTCAGTAGCCATAGACACACCCATTCTCCCTATCCCTCCTGCCTCCTCCCCTCCCCCCCTGTCCTCCCCTTCCCTTTCCCCTCGCCATACCTCTCCCTATTCCCCTTTCCCTCCCTCCCTCCCCCCCCTCCTCCCTGTCGCTCTCCCCCGTGTCCCACCTCCACCTCCTTAAACATCTCCCTCCCCTCCTTCTCACCACGCTCTAACCGCCAACGGCTTCCTATCTGACGTGGCAAGAATGGTGAACGTGGGCCAATCAAACCGCCAACTCAGCTTAGGCCAGTCCACAGCTGGCAGCTCGGGAACACAGGCCCAGGGATGTGCCGGCTGCTCCTGATTGGTAAGCGTGCCTCCGTCCATCCCTTCCATCCCCCCTCCTCCTGCCCGAGCCTCTTCCGCTTTCCGTTCCTCCCAGGCAAACAAGCCCGTGCCCTCTACTCTGTCAGAGCGCTTGGCGCGCGCGGGGGAGTAGCTGCGCGCGCTGTGGGGGCGGGTCCAGGTGAGGGCGGGGCGGGAGGAGGCGGGGAGAGAGGCGCAGGAGGAGTTGACGTGGAGGAGAGAGGTGAGGAAGGAGAGGGTGGCTTGGCCAGCCTGTAGACGGAAGTGGGGGGGTTGAAGAGAGGGGGTGCGAGAGAGGGGTTAAAGAGAGGGGGATGGAGAGAGGGGGATGGAGAGAGGGGAAGAAGAGAGGGATTGGAGTTAATGGAAGGATTAGAGTTAATGTAAGAAGAAGAGTTGATGTAAGGAGAAGAGTTGATGTAAGGAGAGGAGTTGATGTAAGGAGAGGAGTTGATGTAAGGAGAGGAGTTGATGTAAGGAGAGGAGTTGATGTAAGGAGAGGAGTTGATGTAAGGAGAGGAGTTGATGTAAGGAGAGGAGTTGATGTAAGGAGAGGGTGGCTTTTGCAGAGCAAGGAGCAGGCGAAGAGAACAAGTGGGAGGGAAGAAGTGGAAGGGGAGGTTGCAAGGGTGAAAGTTTGCAAGAAGGCAAGACAGTTGAGTGCAATCCTTGTTCACCGCAAAGGTTGAATTAAGTAGCTCGTGGAAAGGCAACACCAACACTTATCGCATTGATTGATGTGGCTACTTTCCATTTTGCAGAATTCTCAAAACACCCAGACCAACACTACCCTACCCACCAACCCATTGGTTGACGTGGATGAGCATGTGCTCACCCATTGGTTGACGTGGATGAGCATGTGCTCACCCATTGGTTGACGTGGATGAGCATGTGCTCACCCATTGGTTGATGTGGATGAGCATGTGCTCACCCATTGGTTGACGTGGATGAGCATGTGCTCACCCATTGGTTGACGTGGATGAGCATGTGCTCACCCATTGGTTGACGTGGATGAGCATGTGCTCCGAGTTGGGCATTATCTTGAGCAGCTTTGGCTCTGGCATGTCGCTCCACCAGATGTACCTGCCAGGGGGGGGGGGGGAGGTGGGGGCAGGAGGGGAGAGAGTTGGGGGAGAGAGGGGGGAGGAAGGATGAGAGAGAAGGGGGGCAGGGAAGATTGGTGCCGTCACACATCCTCGTCATTCTCATACTCACAGGTCCCGTGTCATCACCCCACTCATGTGCCATCACCCCACTCACGTGTTTCCACCCCACTCCACTGTCATCAACCATAACCCTACACCCTGAACCCTAAACCTTGAACCCGAAACCTTGAACCCTACCTAGACCCCACTCACGTGCCACCACCCCACTCCACTGTTATCAACCATAACATTAAACCCTAAACCCTAAACGTAACCCTATACAGCCCTAAACCCCACTCACGTGTCATCAACCCACTCACGTGTCATCACCCCACTCACGTGTCATCACCCCACTCACGTGTCATCACCCCACTCACGTGTCACCACCCCACTCCACTGTCATGAACCGTAACCCTACACCCCAAACCCTACCCTAAACCCCACTCACGTGTCATCCAATGCCAGCACTTCATCATTAGCAGCAGTGACGAGCAGCTTGGGCATGGTCAGGCGCTCCCTCAAGTAGTAAGGATCCGTGTCCTCCTGCACTCACCCATGCATGGGGTCATGTCAGCATCCGCGTTACTTTGCCGCGCTCGTTCTCATTCTAGGTCGAAATGTCCAATCTAGCTCTATTTCAAGCTCAAGACTTTGGTTGGCAGCAAGGGCCATGTGGAAATATGGGCATGAGAGGAAGAGCATGAGTGACGCAGCTTGGCAACGCCAGACCAGCACACGTCCAAGTCCAACCATTCTCTCTCGCAAACACTCCGTCACCCTGAGCTTGCAACGAGCCTTTGGAGCTCAGGCGATTGCAGCTTGGAGATGACATTGAACCGTGAGAGCACATTAACGCTAAAGCTGGCACAAGCACAGAGGTTGCGCAAGACGGGCCACACGAGTACTCACTCGTTCGCTACATGGTTACACCATTCTCCATCCCACACTCGCCGTCTGTCCACGTGCTTACAACAAGCCGGTGGAACTCGGGCGAATGGAGCTTAGAGGTGACGTGACGTTGAAGATGGCGTGGAACCTGGGGATGACCGGCCACGCAACTACTCACACCACACTTCCCACCATTCTCTATCTCACACTCGCTCTCGCTGAGCTGTGCTTACAACAATCCGCTTGAACTGGGGCGAGTGCAGGTGGGAGGTTACGTTGAAGGTGGCGTAGAACTTGAGGATGACCGGCCACGCGCCCAGCGAGTCGTGCAGGCGTTGCAGGTTGCGCCCAAAGTCAAGCAGGTCATAGCCGTACACCACCATGCCCACCACCCTCTGCCATGGGAAGGAGAACAATCGAATTGAGAGAGAAGAAGACGAAGAAGAAAAAGTGCACACTGAGGATCCCGCCATGCAAGCATGGATGGTTGCTGGTCCTTGGGGAACCAGCCAGGGTGCGTTGCTCCAGATCTAGCATCATCCCATCCCTCGTGATGATCCCTTGCTTGCTGCACTCCGCTGCTGCACTCCGTAACACAGCTGCTGACAAGTGCAATTCTCTTGCTTGCGTCAAGGGAAACCATAAAACTTAAACTATGCATAGATAGAGTACAGTGCACCTCATACACAAATGGATACTGCATTGGAATGGAACACGCAGAGGGTGCGATGCCATATACTTCGTCAAAAGATAGACGAAACAAAGCAAAATATACACAACACCCTATGGCAACACACACATGCCATAGACGAGACATGCCTAAGAGGTTAAGAACACATGACGATAAGGCCGAATGCAGGGCAACGCAACATGTATACCCCATCTAAAGCCAGGCGCCCCTCACCACACATGCAATGGTAGGCGGTGCCATGCCATGAGCCCTCTCTTGCTCACTCCCATGAGGTTACATTGTATCGATTCAAACAGTGTCATGTGGCATTGTAATGAGGCGACTTGTGACTCTGAGTCGACTCAAATCAAAGGTCCTTCTCACCTTATCCATGGCGGCTGTCAGCCATGCCATCAGCCCTCTCTTGCTAGTTCCCATGAGCACAAAGCCTTCCACCTGTCCCATGCCAACCCACACATGCCATGCCACACATGCCATGCCACACATGCCATGCCACACAAGCCATGCCACACATGCCAACCCACACATGCCAACCCACACATGCCATGCCACACATGCCATGCCACATCCTATTTCATGCCACACATCCCATTTCACCATGCCATTGTACGCAAATTGTGGCGACAACCCTCGTAACCAGAGCAAGCCAGCATGCAACATAACCAGAGCAAGCCAGCATGCAACATAACCAGAGCACAGGGCAGGTGGGGACAGGGCAGGTGGGGACAGGGCAGGTGGGGACAGGGCAGGTGGGGACAGGGCAGGTGCGGACAGGGAAGGTGGGGACAGCAAGCAGACAAGCACTGACCGGGAGGTGGGGGAGGATCTCCCTTGAGGCGAGGTGCAGCGCATCCATTCCCCTCACAATGGACTTGGCCATGGGTGCCGCGAGATGCCACTCTAGGTGCTCCGGATGCGCCAACGCCATGGCAAAGCAGACTGGGTGGGATAGAGCAGCACGCATGGATGGATGGATGAGCATGGGCATAGCATAGTATGAGTTGCTGTTCAATCCTATACGTTCATGCATAATAAAGAAAACAAGAAACTAACGACCTTTATGGGAATGTTCATGTGATCAAAGCACCAATGGGAATGTTTCCAGCAACGTTGCTGATCCTATATATGTGTGCAGCAGCAGGTTATGATGCATTCATATTAACGCACTCACTTCAACACATATCGTCATGACCTCACCCCCATACCATCATCACCTCACTCACACGCCACGCCGTCACCTCACTCACTCACACCCCATCACCTCACTCGCTCATTCACACACCATCGTCTCACACTCTCACACGCCACCACCTCTCACTCACTCACTCACTCACTCACACTCCATCACCTTACTCACTCACTTATTCACTCACTCACTCACTCACTCACACAGCATCACCTCACTCACTCACTCACACGCCATGAGCTCGTCTTCTAGCAGCTGATCAGACTTGCCCGGCCCGTTCGGCCCCACATGGAATGACATTGGCTGCATTGGCTGCTGATGCAGCACCGCTCCCAGGATCCCCAGCTCCACCACCAGGCTGCCACGTGGCATAGCATGGATCATGCAGAAGAGCAGCGGATATAGGGGGGTGGGATACGTGGTGGCGGGTGATGCGATAATGTATCTTCCAACGGGCTTCAAAAGTATTCGGGAGTCACCAGCGTCACTGCCAAGCTACCAAGTGCTGCTCACTAACAGATGAAACCGAGAGGGAGTTAAGAAGATCACAGTCAATGTAAGTAACATCATCATCACATCACATGAAACGTTCGCCTGACCTGACCAGCTGTCTGTCACCTTCGCCTACTTCCCCATGATAATCTGTGTGTGTGTGCCACTCCCATCCCACGCCGCGTGTCCGCCTCACCTGATCATGGCGCCAAGCCCTTCCCTCACGCCACGCCCATGGCTTCGATTCCAAACTGCTCCAGCTATCGTGCACAGAAGCAGAGCAGCAGGTTGCTGCCATAAGCCATCATGCCATCCATGGTTTCAATGCAATACGTGGAGGAGGGACCATATGGGTCGACGATTCAGCTTAACAGTCCCATTGTCGTCACGCCAAGCCCTTCCGTCAAATGCATGCTTGCACTTGTCCAGGAGACGAACCCTCGCGCCCCAGCAGCAGCAGCAGCAATGCCGGGCGAATGCAGCACGTACGGGGCGAAGGCAGCACGTACGGGGCGAAGGCAGCACGTACGGGGCGAAGGCAGCACGTACGGGGCGAAGGCAGCACGTACGGGGCGAAGGCAGCACGTACGGGGCGAATGCAGCACGTACGGGGCGAATGCAGCACGTACGGGGCGAAGGCAGCACGTACGGGGCGAAGGCAGCACGTACGGGGCGAAGGCAGCACGTACAGGGCGAAGGCAGCACGTACGGGGCGAATGCAGCACGTACGGGGCGAATGCAGCACGTACGGGGCGAATGCAGCGGTGAACATTTCGTGCTGATCAGGCGGGGAGTGGAAGTGCGACCACCCCGACCCGATGATGAATAGCACCACGCCCTTGTGCGCGCTGTGCATGTCGTCCGGCGCCTGTGGGATCCGTGTGTGGCGTGGCGACAAGGAGGAGAGAACCACGCATGGAGCGCCTCAAACTGGCCCATGTGCGCGTTGTCAGGCGCCTGCGCGGAGGGGTGCATTGAGATGGGGGTTGCAAAAGGGACTGCTGAGTTGAGCATTGAGAGAGGGGGTGCCAGAAGGGACTGGTTAGTTGAGTTGAGTCGACTCTGACCCGATGATGAACTTTTGAGTCGATTCAAAAGTCACCTCAGCACCAGCACCAGGCCTTTGTGCGCGTTGTGCGTGTCTGCATGTCGTCGGCAGGTCACATGAGTGATGAACGCGCAGTCAGAAGGGAGAGAACGACAGGTTTCAGGAAAGTTTACAATTTTCTTGATGGATGAAAAAAGAGTGGTAATAATAAGGATATTGATTAATTTGGAGAGTGATTCTGGGTGCGAGGGGGGGGGGGGGCATCGCAAAAACAGCGGGGGTGGAGGGGTAGCGTTTAGTTCAGCTGCTTCAAAGCTGCTTGGCGTAAACTGACTAAAGGGTTACGCCATACCTACCGTGGAGCTACTTTCAAGGTTGGCGCTTCGGGATTTAGCGGTAAGTCAGAAACGTGAGGAGGGATTGAGATTGCGTGCAGGAGTTTCATTCGCTATCGATTCAAAGCTACGGAAAAGCTGCTCCTACCGAATTGCTTGTGCTTCGTGGATTTTGTGTTTTTGGGTTCGCCCATTTCGCCCAAGATGGGGTTACTGCAAGAATTCTCTCATGTTCTAATCCTCGCTGAGAAATCTCGCGTTCTGCTGTGCAGGGTTTTATTGTTGTACATTAAACGGCTGTGTCTGTAATCTATAAACTGTTAAATAGGTACAAATTTGACAAATTCGATAATTGCGTTTTGCTGTTCGAAATCAACAATATAAACTACGAATGCTACCCTTTTTGTAGTTCATTTATTGTCAGCACTGCATGCAAAATTATTTTACAGCTTCATCCAACATGTAATTGGATTCGTTAGCAATATGCAAACAAGTTAGAGATATATGCGTGTAAGCAATAATGACAACTGCGCCAATACATTGTTTGATATTTGGTATTAGGGTACATTCTCATCTTGACATTTGTGTCTCAACCCCTGATTTCCCGAGTCGTGTCTAGACGTCGTGCCGATTCAGACCTGCAAACGCACAAACAAGTGTCAGGTGCTGCGCAGTTTTGCGAACGAGCTCAAACCGGTTCTTATGGCAAGGGAATAGGATGTACTACCTGAATGTGTGAAGAAATTGTCTCAAAAATTACGTCCAAATGTTGAAACGGTTACATGTTGCGCACTGGCCTATCCTTACACGGATTCAGGCCAGCAAACGCACAAACTATCGTCACGTGCTGCATATTTGCGCGAACGAGCTCAAACCAGTTTCTATGGGAAGGGAATAGGATGTACTACCTGAATTTGTAAATAACTAGTGTTAAAAATAACGTCCAAATGTTGAAACGGTTACGTGTTGCGCACTGGCCTATCCTTGCACAGATTCAGGCCAGCAAACGCACAAACTAGCGTCACGTGCTGCATATTTGCGCGAACGAGCTCAAACCAGTTTCTATGGGATGGGAATGGGATGTAATACCTGGATTTGTGAAGAAATAGTGCTAAATTAACGTCCAAATGTTGAAACGATGACATGTTGCGCACTGGCCTATCCTTGCACAGATTCAGGCCAGCAAACGCACAAACTAGCGTCACGTGCTGCGTATTTGGGCGAACGAGATAAAACCAGTTTCTATGGGAAGGGAATAGGATTTACTACCTGAATTCGTGAAGAAATAATGTACAAAATAACGTCCAAATGTTGAAACGGTTACGTGTTGCGCACTGGCCTATCCTTGCACGGATTCAGGCCAGCAAACGCACAAACTAGCGTCACGTGCTGCATATTTGCGCGAACGAGCTCACACCAGTTTCTATGGGATGGTAATGGGATGTAATACCTGGATTTGTGAAGAAATAGTGCTAAACATAACGTCCAAATGTTGAAACGGTGACATGTTGCGCACTGGCCTATCCTTGCGCAGATTCAGGCCAGCAAACGCACAAACTAGCGTCACGTGCTGCGTATTTGGGCGAACGAGATAAAACCAGTTTCTATGGGAAGCGAATAGGATCTAATACCTGAATTTGTGAAGAAATAATGTACAAAATAACGTCCAAATGTTGAAACGGTTACGTGTTGCGCAGTGGCCTGTCCTTGCACGGATTCAGGCCAGCAAACGCACAAACTAGCGTCACGTGCTGCATATTTGCGTGAACGAGCCCAAACCAGTTTCTATGGGATGGGAATGGGATGTAATACCTGGATTTGTGAAGAAATAGTGCTAAAAATGTCAAACATTATATATGTTGTATTTGTGTAGGCTACAGTGGGTTAGCCTTTAGGGGGTACATTACTCTAGGGTTAGGTACTTGTACTCCCATTCCTTTCTGGTTCATCACTTCTTCTTTCTAACATGGTATTAAGAGCTTAGGTTTAGACCTAGGATCGCTTACCTTAGGGCCCACCGTTCCGTTAGAAGCGCCCTCGAGCGCCTTCATGTCCTAGCGCCCTCGAGCGCCCTTCTCCTAGTGCGCCCTCGTGCGCCTCGCTGTCTTCTACTGCCCGTGCGCAGCTCACTAGAGCCGCACGCGGCCTTTTTTTTTTCCGCGTGCGTCGCCCCCTAGCAGCCCGCGCGCGGCCGTTTCTGCACGCGCGCCGCCCGTTAGCCGCCCACGCTGCCACGCGCCGCCCGCTATCCGCCCGTCGAAGGGCCCTCCTGGCCGCGCGTAGCCCGCTAGCGACCGGCAGCCCCGCCCGTAGGCCGCGCCGTCGCCCTCTAGGCCGCCCGCGCGTTAGTCAGGCCCACGCAAGGCCACGGCCCGCCCGCTACAGCCGCCCGTGTGCACGCCCCCCGTCGCGCACTGCCCCGTAGCCCAGCCCGAGCCGAACCGCGCCGCCCGAACCGAGCCGCGCCGCCCGAACCGAGCCGCGCCGCCCAGGCAGAGCCGAGCCGCCCTACTGTTACTACTCCTACTGCTACAACTACTACTGCTACTGCAGTTACTACTACTACTGCCACTGCCACTATGGCTAGTCCTGCTGTGCTAGCTTTCGATGCTGAGGGCCGCCCACTGAAGTTTGAGATCTGGCTCGATGACTTGCACCTATTCCTCCAGCTCACTGCCAAGGAGGATATCTTACTGTACGATCACGCGCTAGGCCATGCTGCTGCTCCTGCTGCTACTGCTGACAGTACTGCCCGCTCACAGTGGCAGACTCGTGACGCCCACGCTCGCTTCGCTATTCGCAACTCCCTGCCGGTAGATGAGCGCGAGCACTTTGGCCAGCACAAAACTGCACAGGCACTGTACACTGCTGTAGTTGCACGCTACTCCTCACCTGCCTCTGCTGCGCTAGGCCGTCTCTCGCTCCCCTACCTGTTCCCAGACCTGTCAGCTTTCTCCACAGTCGCTGACCTCATCACGCACCTCCGCACTAGTGAGGCCCGCTTCCGTGCCGCTATGCCCGCTGAGTTTCTTGCCACCCACCCCCCCCACTCTGGCCCACTCTCTACCACCTGGTCACCCGTCTCCCTGACTCTCTTCGTGCGGTCAGGGACCACTTCCTCGCTCGCTGCCCCACTGAGCTCACCGTTGACCTGCTCGAGAAGGAACTGCTTGCAGCTGAGACTAGCATAGTCGCTGTAGCTGCCTCTCGTGGCGACCCCCGCACCCCGTTCTTCGAGGGGTGTTCCCCTTCTTCCCTCTGTCGCCTCTGCTGCTGCTGTCGACCTCGTTGGTACTGAGCAGGTCGGGACTGCGTCCGCTCCGAGCTGGCGCCGCAGCGGCAAGGGCAAAGGGGGCAAGGGAGGTGGAGGTGACGGCGGGGGAGGCGGTGGTGGGGGCGGTGGCGGCGGTGGGGGCGGTGGCGGGGCCGGGGGGGCTAGTGGCAGCGGTGGGGGTGGTGGAGGCAGTGGCGGAGGAGGCGGCCGGGGTGGGGGTGGTGGTGGGGGCGGCGGTGGACGCGGCGGTGGCAGGGGCGGTGGTGGTCGAGGTGGTGGCGGCGGCGGTGGTGGTCGTGGAGGCGCTGGCAGTGGCCAGAGCCAGCAGCACACTCCGTCGTCCCAGGAGCTTCGTGAGTGGTACTCTCAGCACGGGGGGGGGGGGGGGGGGGGGGGGGGTGGCCTTAGCTGCACGAACGTCATCCGCACTGGTGACCGCACTGGCCAGACGTGTGGGAGGGCGCACACCACGCAGCGCTGCTTCTCCCGCCTCGACGACGCTTGGCGTACTCAGTTCCCTGCTGCCACTGAGCTGCCCCGCTGGGCTGATCTGATGAAGAAAAACATTGATATCTATGCTCTAGACTTTGATGCTATTCTCACTGCCATGTATGTGTTGTCTACTAGTGGAGAGGGTGCTCAGTACCTGCGTGTTCCGCCCGACCCGGGCATATGGACCAGTGAGGCTGCCGCTCTAGGTGCTAGTGCGTCTGTTGCCCTAGGTGCTGGTGAGGCTGCCGCTCCAGGCACTCACGTGTCTGCTACCCCAGGTACTGGTGAGGCTGCTGCTCTAGGTGCTAGTTAGTCTGCGCCCCCTGGTACTGAGTCTACTGAGGCACTGCACACCTTCACACTGGACTCAGGTGCTTCTCGCTGTTTCTTTCGTGACCACACTGCCCTTGAGCAGCTTGCTCGGCCAGTTGCTGTCTCCCTCGCTGACCCCTCTGGGGGTCCGGTCATTGCGACCTCCTCCACTGCCCTCCCTTGTCCTGCGGTCCCGTCGGGCACACTGTCAGGTCTCTACCTCCCCTCGTTCTCTACGAACTTGGTGGCGGGTAGTGCGCTCCAGGACGGGGGTGTCCACCAGTTCACCCCTGCCTACGAGCGCGTGACACACTGCACGTGCGCTCGGACGGGTCGCCACCTGGCTACCTTCACTCAGCAGCCGGGGTCAGACCTGTACACACTGACCACTGAGTCCCCTCAGGTAG